CTGTCTCCCAGCAGCAGTGGCAAGGAGGCAGCTGGTCCTTTGGGCAAAGGAAGGGGCTTGGGCTGGCCTGGGGGAGGGCCCCGCACTGCCCCTGAGAGCTGCCATGGGGGTCGTGCTTCTTTGGCAGTGCTGACCTCCTCTGAGACCCGCAAAGTGGGAAGGGACCGGCGTCACCAAGCTGGCCGACCCACAGCCCCTGGGTCAAGGACATGAGCTGGTCATGGTTCCACCAGCACCTGGTCTCATGCAGGTTGGCTTTGACCCCTGTGGATCCAGATAACATTAAATAAGTCAAGTCGTGCCCACAGTGAGTCGGGTGCCAGCGCCTCCGGCTCAAGCAGTGTCGCTGTCAGCTGCCAGCATCACCTTTGGAAACATTCTGTTTGCGGTGACACTGGCATCGCGTTGGAACAGCCCGGCCAGCGAGCAGGGACCGGCCTCGGAGTGGCACCCCCATGGGGAGGGCAGGGTGAAACCCACCTCTCAGAGATGCTTTCCCGGCCCTTGCAGGGTTAAGTGGCCCCTTTTGGCACAAATCCATTACGAACGGGCCTTGGGATCATCAGCTGCCTCCCGGCTGGTTCCCACAGCATTTCAAACACAACATCGCAAGAGCCAGGGATAATACCCAGGACAGGCCCTTCTCAGTGGGACAGATAAGCACTAACAGAGTTATTGCAGGAACACAGAGTACTGAATTTCCTACGCTGGAAACTGTAGGAAATAGACAGCCAATTGGATTGGCTGTATCTGGGGAGAAGAAGACAACCATGAAAAAAAGATCCAAGGTTTCCCCGGGATGCCCCTGTCCTAAACATGCCACTGCACGGACCCTGCCCTTGCTAATTCTGCATGTAATAAACATGTATTCGGATGCTGGGAAGAAATCCGTTCAGCTGGTGCTGCCCTAGTCTGTACGCAGGTTGGAACAAGCGCTCGAACCTGGATCTCCCTCCAGCCTTCTCCCAGCACCACTTCCCTTCCCCTCGGCTGTCCTTATCCCCAGTATTGCAGAGGGTACCCAAGGGGTTGGTCGGGGCATGTGCATCCGCAGCCACCGCACGCCTCGCCAGGGAGAACGATCCAGGGATAACCTGCGGGGAGCGTGTCCGCCCTCCAGGAGCCCCAGTGCCTTTCCTTTCTGCCTTCCGCCAGCTCCTTTTACCCCGGCTATTAATTAGTGCATACGAGGGGTGCTGTAATTTCTCTTTCTCAACAGTTTTCTCATCCTTGATGGAAAGAAGGAGTTTTCACATCCCTCATAGCATCCCACCTTCTCTGTCCTGCTCTCCAAAGGCACACTTGGCCTTTCGTGAGCTGGGAAGGGACTTCTTGTCCCCACCAGGACCTCCCCGCAGGAAAGCCCAGCCGCAGGCAGCTGTAGCCTGGTGGTGGCCCTGTAACAGCTCCTGCTACCCTCCACCACCCACAGGCACTTTGGGGTCTTTCAGTTTTTTAGAAGTCCCCCTTAAGCAGCACCAGAGCTCCTCCTGCCTCCTGCTGCCCTTGTTTCGGCCTGCGAGTGGGCAGAGACCCCAGTGGGTGCGCAGAAAGGAAGCTCCTGGGCAGGACAGGCTGTCCCAGGGAGAAACCATCCAGCAGCGCCCAGGGCAGGAGGAGCTGTGCCTCAGAGAT